GGGCCGTGGCGGGCCGGGCGCGCCCCGCCCGGGGCAGCCTCGGGCTGTGCACCAGCAGCGGTAGCTGGGCTGGGCCGGGCCAGGCACGTGCATCTTCCGCTGCCAGCTCCGCACGCCCTCCTCCACGCGCCGGGCGGGGGCGGGCCGTGCATGAGCCCTCCCTCAACCCAGGGAGCAATTAAACTGTCTGCCCGGGGCACCAGAATGGCTGGTCCGGCCCTGGCCTGCAGCATGGCCAGTTAATAGAAGATGGAACTGGGGCTGGAGTTAGATCCAGGCATCAGAACACTCTACTTGAGCATATGCAATGGTTTAATGCATCAAGGGAGGGGCACTAGATTCGTTTACTGACAAACTGATGATTTAAGGGAGCACACCCAAGTTGTTTTGTTCAGGCTAGACAATAAGAACTACTCATTCCTGGCTGTGGGCATTGTTCCTTGGGAGTGGGGAGGAGCTCCTACTGCAATTAGGCAGCTTTGGTATTTTGGATACCAATCGAGGATTTATTACTAAAATTAATCTGATCATTACTGACCTGGGTGCTTGCAGGATTGGGTTCGTCAGCATCCAGAGCAGAGATTTCCCATCAGGCAATGCTCCCCTGCGTTGGGTCCTAGAGGTTCCAGTCTTGGACCTTCTGTTGTCCATTTTGAATGCTAACAGAGACACCTCTCTGTCCCATCTTTGATTCAAATAAGGCCAAGGGAGCTTCCAGCAAGATTTAGGTGTGGCTGTCTTGCTTTTTGCAAGTTTCACAGCTGGTAGGCCACATAGGAGAACAGCATTCACTCTTCTGATATAAGCATGATTGCGGAACAGGGATTTAACTCCTGTGCTGCTGCTGTGATTAGGCTGCAGACTAGATATTTGCAAGGCTGGACTAAGAGCCTGACTCTGGGGGAAGTGACCAGTGAAACCACTCTGATTATACAGGCAGTCCCCGAGTTACGCGGATCCGACTTATGTCGGATCCGCACTTACGAACAGGGCTTTCTCACCCCGGAGCTCGCAGGCAGCGGGACCGCCCAGAGCGCAGCGGTCCCGCCACCTCGACCTCAGGGGCGAGAAAAGCTGCTCCCGGTGCCCCTGGTCTGCTGGGGACCGTCCCCAGCAGACCAGGGACACCAGGAGCAAAGCCTCTGAGGATGCCCCGGCAGCGGGACAGCCCCGGCGCGCCTGGGCTGCCCTGCCGCCGGCCCCCCTCCCGGGCTTTGCGTCTAAGACGAACCCCGATTTTTGGGGGGTGGTTT